ATGGATGGATGGATGGATGGATGTTATAAACTAATGGGAGGGAGATCCCCTATGAGCCCTAATATACTTATTATGACATGCTTAACTGCCAGTGAGACAAAACCAATTTTTACTGCAAATGAGAAATGAACATACCAATAAAGACTAACTATTCATTTCTAAGCAAAGTTACCCTCTGTCGTGTCCTTTGGAGCAGAATCCATGAATTTTGTAGTAATTCATGGATTTCTTCACACTGTCCTTCAGACAGCTGTTGGATGCTCCTGACAATGACACAGGAAAAAGAATTTGCATTTGATGAAGCATCAAATGCATCGGTCACTCTGGCAGCCAGCTGTGCCAGAGTGACCGAGTCCCAGGCCGAGAGGCCGAGGGTACCCCACCCCCGAAGTGGCCCGAGCGAGCCCCAGGCTTCAGGCCCCGATAACCAGCCACCAGGAGTGAGCCAGTGTGTACCTGTACGCCCATCCCCAAACACAAAGAACCACCAACGCACCGATGTCTGAGGGCGTCTGCCACTGGCAGGGGAAGTGGTGGGAGAGATAGGCCTCCATACCTTGGAGGGCCTGAGATGTCCCTAGAGATGTGGCGTCTGATACCCAACCTGACATACAGACAAAGACAAACAGGCACACACAGATACAGACATCCATTCCCACCCTCATGCTCTCATACGCAGTTACTCAACACTCACCCAACGTGGAGACAGACATAAATAAAGACACTGTACACACAATCACCAGGAAAATTGCATTTTAACCCAACTCACGTTCAGATGTGCTGTCTAAGAAACATAATTCTGAATGTTTTTCATTATATAATTATTCATCCCTGGCTGCAAATGGGACACCTAAGTTACCTGAGTAGAGAAAAAATACACATGTAACCCAGATTATTTTCTGAAATATGAGATTTCTGATAATTTGGCAGTCATTGAATGCAGCACAGTGCCATGAGCATAGCAGCCGCCTGTCCAGCAGCTGTAGAATTTCATTTTCTTCCTGTCGATCAGATGAGGAGCATGCTGTTTTCATGTGCCCTGCCAGCTGGAAACTTGTATCCATGGCGACTCATGTTAAATGTACCCGTTTACGAGATATTTGTACTTGAAACTGATGGTTTAATGTGTTATTAGAGAGAGAAGTCATGTAGTGGTACACACTTGAGACCCTTGAGCGAAAGTTGGATCACATCACAGAACGGCTCACTGCAGTTGTGAGGTCTCAGAATCAAAAGAATGACAACACCATGGACCAGAAGTTTGATACCATCATGGGGAGGCTCGCGGCTCTACAACGGGAAATTGAGAGACCAGTGTTGGAGTGTTAAAGATCAGCTTTGAAATTCTACTGAGCTGCTCGCATAAATGAAAAATCAACGACATCAACATGCGAACACCACGGCGCCAGCTGCACGGCCCAAGGCTGGAGCCGAACAAAAACTCCCTGATAACGACTGTGTGATGACTATTCTTCCCATCCCAATGCAAGGACACCTGGGTTGGCTGGAAGACTGTTTACTTAGCCTGATAGGGCGAAGGACACTGTCTCAGCTGAACTATGGACACACACACACACATACACTTACACTGATAAGCACTCACACATCCCCCCTCCCCTTCCAACGCCTTCGATGCTTGTTGCCTCCTGGGAACACGAGGCGGGTCTGAGCCCGCGCTGGTGAGTCGGCGCAGTGGCAGGATGGCTGCTGTGTTGCCTGGGATTACTCCTTTTCCCTACCCAACCCTGTTGCTGGTCACGTGCTCCATAATGTTGTGCTGTGGACATTTATGTGCTTTTTTGTGCAGAGGAGTTTGTTTGTTTCCTGTTCTCATGCTGTCCTCCAGCCCAGCATGAGTAGAGGTCTCTTTTTTTCCCTCTTGTACTTTTCCCATTGTAGTGTACATTTCAGTGTTTTTCTGTAATGCAACCGTTCTCTGACTTGTATCCCCATGTGATGTCTGTGTTGTGTGTGTAAGGTCGGAGGGCGGGTTCATTTCACTGCAGTTTACTGCATGTGGCGAATAAAAGTTGATGATGATGATGATGATGTGCCTTATTATGCTGCAGCAAGATGTCAAATCCACCACTGTGATATTTTGTTAAGGAAGAAAGCTAAATGTTGTAGAATCTGTGAATGAGGTTATTAGCAGGCTGGATAGCTGACTGTTACAAGCTAGCGGATAAGCAAGGCTGGCTACCATCTTAATATGGCGGCCAATACAAGGACAATTATCGAGTTTATTTGTTCATGCCTAAGAAAATTTGTTGAATAGCATTTATTTTTTCTGTTTATATTTTTACATGAACAAGCCTGTATTTTTATGATGGTAAGACTGCTGGTTGAGCCGTTAGGGACATTGACACTGACTTGGTGGTACTGGAAGTCATGAATATGCTTTGGTTAATTTCCCTGCACACTTGTGTGTAGGCAGTTTTTTCTTTCCTGTGGTAGTCTGTTCCTGCTGGATGAACCACTTTAGGAAAATCCTCATCTGATGACTCCACTGAACCATCCTTCCTGGTAGATGGCCGTTACTGCTAGCTGGATGCTTCTGCTAGCTGGATGCTATTACTGGATACTACACTGTTCCAACAGCTTGGTAGGAACAAATTGATGGGCTCAGAAGATGCACTTTACCTTTCCTTGAGCTTTTTTGGACTCAGTGTTTTTTTTGGAAACACTGAGTGGAAAGACACTAAAAGAAAAGGGTTGTTGTTTAATTAAAATTGTTTTACTAAATTTATTTTTTAAGTGAGTGTGGTGTTCATTATGTGCTGAAGGTCATACTGTTCCTATAGTGGAGCAGCTCAGTCAGAGTTGCTTTTCCTGTTTGGGTGTGAAAGAAAAAGAATTAGTAGCAGTGGCTCCTAGCTTCAGTACTGCTATCTGTCCACACAGTGGTGCAGTTTGCTTAGCTAAGTATATATGTGGATATAAAATGCAAAGCTTCAGTCAGAATGTGTTAGGCTTTAAATGTGTTTGCTTTGGTCTTATTCACATGACCCTGTTTTATTTTTAAGTAAATTAATGTAGATATTAAATAAGGCTAATAAATAACGCTTGTGCATGAAAGATCACTTTTACGTAATCATAAAAATAATTATATTTTTATAATCATAATCATAAAAATATAAACAAAGAAAAAGGCTGATTTGTCATATTTAAGATATTGTGACGAGAGACAAATATGAAACAAACACCAAGAGAGAGATGAAATCATTTCCACTCACAGAATGAGAAAAAGAAGCCCACAAATACACAATAATATCGTCTTTATTTATGCTTTTATCTCATTTTAACTCAATAAATGCTGAAACAACAGTATTATGGTTTAATGAGCTCTCCAGAGCTGCTACAGTTGATACAATTTCATCAACTAGTCACTCTCAGTCACTCACACAGATGCATACACACACGTCACACACTTGTCTCACACACATGTCATACACACACACACACACACCTATATACTTGTATGGCTATCTGTGAGGACATTCTTTAACAGACTTCCCAGCCCCAAATCAACTGAACCCTAAAACCAACAATGGGGACAAAAACTTTACACGCTGGTCCTCACAAATTAACCTAT